TGACATCACTTTCTTAGTCAGTAGTGGAATTATTGAAAGAATCCACAATCTACACCAGTTATACAAGAGCTGCTGCAGACAATTCAATAACAAATCTAAAAAAGCCAGTAATGTCCACGCTGCCCTACTAGTAAATAATAGAAAAAAACTTCTGACAAAAAATGAGATATTGTACGGTAAATCAAACACACAGCGGACTAAGTAGCCTTTGAAAAATAAACTTCATACACAAAGTTAATGCTGTTCAAATATCCACTGATCCTAAAAAAAATGTGTCTGATCAACTAACAGATAACTGATCCATGGAAAGCTTCCTGATAATCACAGACACATTCCCCATCACTTCCTCATGGGCTTCATTAAAAGACGGGTTGCCATTTGAAAACACACACCGACCTGTGATTATCAGCTCTCACCTGCACCGGAGGAGGGGGGTGGAGCCGGGTGCGCCAAGCGCATGCTGGCCAGGTGGTGCCACGTGGGGCCGGCAGCGTGCCGGCGGTGGTCTTCTGGGCGGTGCAGCAGCAGGTCTTCCCAGGCGGTGGGGGTGAGCAGTCCGTCTCTCCATGCAGCCGGCGGGTTAAAGCCTGCGGCTCCTCTGCACCTCTCCCCCTGAGCAGCACAGCTTTCACCTGCACCGGGGGGGGGGGGGCGGAGCAGGGCCGAGCACGTGCCGGCCAGGTGGTGCCACGTGGTGCAGGCGGGCCGGCAGCGTCCCAGGCTTCGGGCACACACACATTCGCTCTATAAGACTCACAGACATTTCCCCTTACTTTGAGGGGGGGGGGAGTGCATCTTACAGAGTGAAAAATACGGTAGTTATCATTGAGTGTTTCCAGTCACCTAGCTTTTGCTGTTGTCTGTGACAATTTATCAGAGAAAGAGAGAGAGAAAAGTTGTTTTCTTGGTCTAGCAGAAGTGATACAGCACATTGTTTCACTTGGCACATCAACATTTATTATCAGTGTTTAGAAATAAACATACTGAAATGGTTTAACTTACTAGTATAGCTTAGTGTGAGATACTGTGCTGATTTGGACATGCAGTTTAGTTTTAGAACAAACAAGCCTGAACTTATGTGCTCTCCACACCTGCTTTCGCATCCAAGAGAAAGAGACTTTAAATTTATTTATTTAAACTCCTGTAGTGATCTTTTAATCCAAACCCAGGGGACTCTGCTCAATTTCAAGTTTAAACAAGCCAGAATTCCTCCAGTTGGGTTGTAATGGGGAAACTATTGTTAGTTTAGAATTGAAAATGGATGTTTCTGATCTCCACTTTCTCTGGCATGCATCTTGAGTGGGAGTATGAGGCTAAGACTTGTCAAAACATATTATACATAACACTAAAACATGTTTTAACTTCACAACCAGAATGGTTTATTGCTTTTGAGGTTTAGTCTCTAAAATCATGGGTTTTGAGTTCAAATGTCTGCTTAGCCAGGAAGTTAATAATTTCTTGGCCAAACTGCTATGTGGAATTGTGATGATACAAACATACTAAAAGTCCTGTTGAACAGTTAAAGCAATTTAGCATGCAATGAGTATGTGCTTCTGGCTTGTTACAAAGAACAGTATGTTTGCATGTAAATTTTGTGGCTATTGGTTCACAATACTGAGTTGACTCAGTCAAATATTTTTTTGGCTTGCACTCACCTTTCACTTTCCCAGCTCTCTTTGTTAAACAACTTGGAAGAAGAGGTCTCTGTGTTGTGCTGTGTTTTGGGTCAGGCAGAAGCAATGCTGTTTTTTTGTACTGGTCCTTTCTGGCCCAAAATTAAGTGTCATGTAAAATCTGTACATCACCAGAGTACCTGAGCAAAGTGAGAACAGTAGCAGGTTAATTCTAAGGCTGTCACTGGATCTATTATGCTGCTAACTGCCTGACTGCACTTGCTGTGCAGGTAGGAGTGCTAAACAAATCACATACCTTCTGTCCATGGCTTGCTTTTTGTAATGTGTGTCTGGAGAGAAAGAAGCCAGAGTTCCTGGTTTGCACACCATGCCTTGGATGGAAGGGCTGTGGTTTCTTTGGCCACTCTCCATTGTAGGTGGAGCCAGGCAGGAGTGCTCAGGCAGTGTCTTTCAGCATGTTGGCTTCTTATTGTTAAGTGCAGATGCTCCCTGCATGGAATTTTAAGGTTGTGTTTCTAGAGAAGATGTCCCTTGGATTTTAAGAAAAGTGGTCCAAGAATGAAAATACTAGAATGGGACATTTTCAATTAGAGAAACACAAAGTGTTTTACTGTGGAAATGACTGCCTCAGAAGAAACAGAGTGGCTCTGATACTGAGGCAAGACATAGCACAGGTAATAAAAGACTATAACGCAGGATCTGGCCAAATAATTTTGATCAGAATTCTCAGGGAAACTGCTAACTTAAGCATCATTCAAGTTTATGCGCTAGCAACAGACACTGAAGAAGAAATTAGATAACACACCAAAGCAAGACATGCTGATAATCTTAGGTGACTGGAATGCAAAGGAAGGAAACAAAGCAGAACCCAATTGTACAAGAATTTGACCTAGGGGATAGAAACAGAGGAGAATGATTCAATGAATTCTGTGAAGCCAATCATCTGTGTATTGCAAGTACATAGTTCAGGCAACTGGTCAGATGACTGTGCATATGGACATCACCAAAAATCAAAAATTTAGAAATTGAATAGACTTCATTATTGGAAGCAGAAGGTGGAGAAGTATATTCTCACTGCCAAAGCAGGAGCAGCTGCAGATTGTGATAGTCACTAAACACTCAGTATCAAAAATCAGAGTAAAGCTGAGAGATCACTAACAGAAGCATAGTGCTGCAATACAGTAAGATTCCTGAGGAGCATAAAGAACAGATTTGACTGAATGCAATGAACTGTGGATTGAAACCAAAGACTCCATCAGGGTAAAATGTAAAAGGGCGTTTCTTATAACAAAAAGAAAGAAAAATCCTAGGTGGATTGCAGAAGAAACACTCAAAATTGCTAGGGATATGCAAGAAGCAAACGTTAACAGAAATAGGATCAGTATGCTGAATACAACTTTTCAGTAATTATCAAGTAGAGACAAAAATGGGCAATACAAAGAAATAGAAGAGAACAACAAAGGAGGAAGACAAGCAGGGAACATACTATATGACCAGGATAAAATGAAGAGAAAGTGGAATTATATGAAAGAACTGTATAGAAGAGATAAAAAATTATTGGTTCCTTCACATAGCAGACAGGGAAGTGAAAAGTGTACTGAAAGCACTTGGAACAGCACTCAGAGTAGATAGGATACCAGGAAGACTCTTTCAAGTTGCAGAGACGGAATCAGTACAAATCCTAGCAAACATGTGCCAGTAAATATGGAAAACAGCCAACAGGATGGAAGCATCCAGTATGCATTCCAATCCCCAAAGAAAGGGGATGCAAAATAGTGCAGCAACCATAGGACTGTTGCATTAATTTCCCATGTAAACAAATTGATGACCAAGGTGTTGCAACAGAGAATATTACCATATATGGAGTGAGGTGTTCAAACTGGTTTCCAAAAAGGAAGAGGCAGTGAAGATCATATTGCAAATATACATTGGCTGCTGGAGCAAGAATTTCAGATCAGCCCATGTTTATAGACTACAGGAAAGCCTTTGACTGTGTGGATCACAAGAAGCTACGGATGGTCCTGAAAGAAATGTGTGTGCCTCAGTGCTTGATTGTCCTGCTGCATAAGCTGTATCACAGCTAGGAAGCTACTATGAGGAGAATGGTTTCTCATAGGCAAAGGTGTCAGACTAGGGTGTATTTTATCTCCTTGTCTATTCGATCTGTATGCAAAACATCATAAGGAAAGCTGGCTTAGAAAATTGGCAGAAGACACAGTTTAAGATATGCAATTGATATGGTTTTTCTTACTGGCAGAAAGCTGAAATGAATTGAAATGGCTTCTGATGAAAGTGAGAGAAGAGAGTGCAAAAGCAGAACTGCCTTTGAATATGAGGGAAAAATTCATGACTACAAAAGAATTAGAGAACTTTGCTGTTAACAATGAAGAAATTGAAATTGTGAAGCAGTTTACATATCTCAGTCATCAATTGAAATGGAGACTGTATCCAAAAAATTTGAAGAAGACTGAGACTTGGAAGGGCAGCAATTGATTAAGTAGAAATGATCATCAGAAATGATCATCACTGGAGACTAAGGCTGAGCTCACCCACAGTGTTGTGTTCCCAATCACAATGGTGCATGGGTGTGAAAGCTGGAAGGAGAAAAATTGATGGTGCTGGAGGAGAGCCTTGCCAATACCCTGGATTGACACAAAGACAAACTAGTGGTTCCCTGACCAAATCAAGCCAGAACTTTCCCTGGAAGCAAAAATGACAAAACTAAGGTGGTTGTACTTTGGGCACATCACAAGAAGGCAACACTCTGGAGAAGACAGTCATACTAGGGGAAGTCATAAGAACAAAAGAAAAGCCATGCTGGATTAGACCAGAGGTCCATCCCGTCCAGCACTGTGTTCACATGGAGGCAAACCAGCTCTGCACAGGATTGACTAGGCAAGATGTATGCAAGACCTCCATCTGCCCATGCTCCTCAGTAACTGGTGTGTACAAGCATGCTGCCTTTGGTAAAGGAGGTAGTACGTAGTAGCAAGGCTAGTAGCCTCTGACAATTTCTTCCTCCATGAATTTGTCCAATCCTTTTTTAAAGCTGTCCACCTTAGTGCCCTTCACCACTTCCCATGGCAGTGAATTCCATAGTTTAGCCATATGTTGCATGAAGAACTTGAAGGCAGAAAAAGAAAAGGAAGGCCAAATATGAGGGGGATGGATTCCATTAAGGAAGACACAGCCTTGAATTGACAAGAGTTGCGTGGGGCTGTCATGGATAGGACATGCTGGAGGGCTTTCATTCACAGAGTTGCCATAAGTTAGAGATGACTGGACTGCACATAACACCACCAGGAACAAATGAACTCTATGATATTAAAGATGCTAATCATCCCTAAATAACATTTCAGAGGTGGCCCTGTGAAGAACAAATCACCTGGCCTCGTTTGTTTTGTCCGGTCAGAGAAAAAGTGAAGTTACTAGGATCTTGCTTGGTGATGGAAAGGGAAGTTCAGAATTGCCACACACCGTTAGATCAGCAGATGCACCATGTATAGGCCACATTCAGCAGTAATGTAAGTAGCAAAAAATCATGTGTTTGGCTTGGCACCCAAAGTAGCAATGGCTGCTCTAACTGTGTTATTGTAAATATTGATGGGTTCACTTAATTTCCCTGCATGTGCATAATTGGTATGTGCTGCTGAATAACCAGAATTACCCTCAGTAGCCTTGCTTTGTTGTGTTAAAACCCAGAGAAAGGTGGGAGTGAGTGACTTTATAAGGCCCCCTGGAACCCATGTCTTATTCTAGTCTTGTCCTAAGTCTGACCCCACTCTTGTCTGATTGGGATGAGAAACAAGGGTAAGAATGGTGACTTAGTAACACACAGCAAACATGTATGAATTGGGAAAATAAGCCAAGGAGGCTGATTTTTCTTCCCTGAAAACACAAACTTGCCATTGTGTTTCCTTGGACATCTTTCTGCTCAGACCATACCTAATCTGAAACATACCTAGAGTTGGAAAATTGCCAGAACTTTTGAAACCTGGGGCAGGGGAAATGGTTCTCTCTTTTTGGTAGTTGTTTTTGTGGGAAGAATTAATTTTCTTCAGAAATTTAGGGCCCTTTACAGATCTAAAGTCTCTTTATTGTGAGAACATGAAATGTATAGAATGTAGCTTCATTTCCTTATAAAATTATGTTTGGTGTATTAAATTTAAAATATACCTTATTTAGAAAGTTACAAATATACTAATTTACTTTAAAATGGTTGAACGTTTTCTTGCAAATGTAACTCTAAGCTGCTGGACTCTAGGTAATCTAGTACACCTTAGTTTTTACCAGTTTTTAAGAAACAACTGAGAAGTCAAGACTATTCAAGCAGTCTGGGTTCTAGTCCCTACTCAGCCATGCAGCCAGCTGGTTGACTTTGGTTGCAGACTCTCAGCCCAATCTACTTCACAGGGTTCTTGTTGTGGTGATAAGATTGAGAGCAGGAGGAAGTATAAGCCTCTTTGAGTTCTTTAAAAGAAAAACGGTGAGATATAAATCAAATAAGTTAGAGCTGGAAATGATGTCATTATAGCAGATGATAGTTACAGTATAACAGGCAATCTGGCTCACCATGGGTTGTTCCCCATCCTTCCTCTTCACTCCTCCTGTGAGTATCTCAGGGATCTCCTGGGCAGGACCAACTTGTCTGCTTTTCTCCCACTGCCAGTGCAAGCCCTTTCGCACTCACTGCAGCTTTTTTCCTTTTCTCCTTTCCTCTTGCCTCCCAGTGATTGCTTTTTGGAATCACGAACTTGACAGTAACAGACCATTTATACTGCTCAAGAAGCACATTAGATGGGGCCGTCACCCCATCCCCTCCTTGTATTTATTTTCAAGTGGAAGACATTACCATGGATATTTCAAACTTTAAAAAAAAAAAAAATAGGGCTTAGGGCATACCAGCCACAGGAAGTTCTGTCTGTGGGAGAGAGGGAGGTGAGTCAGGTTGCAGCAGCAAGGAAAAGGGTTGTGCCAGTGGTAAGACCTGTTGGGGGGGGGGGGAGGGGTAGATGAGGGAGGTGGAAGTGGGACAAGAGAGGAGATGATGCAAGCAGATGGGGGTGGGAAAAGCAAGGATCCGAGTGAAGGAAAACAGTGGAAGAGAACATTTAAGTGGGGGCAAGAAAAGCAAAAACCCTGAAATTACATGCCCATAAGTCCAAATGACTTCAGGAAGAAAGTGCCCTTGAGGATCCCCCAAAATGAGAAATGTGTCCATGAGGCCAAAGGCTTGACTACACTTCTCACAGCTCATTTCTCTGGTAATGCAAGTGGAGAGAAACAACATTCTTGTAAAAATGACCAAATCCTTTCAGTTCATGGTGTGCTCTTGCTTTTTTAAAGTCTTTGGTAGGGTTGAATGGAATTCTGAAGTGTTGACACAAGTCTAATTGCTCTTGTATTTCTTCCTGGCAGACCAAAGAGAACTCTGTACAGCAAAAAATATGGAGTGGATCTCATCAGGTACACACATGCTGCCAACACGGTGGTGTACAGTTCCAATAAAATAGATGGTAAGTGAGCTACTCATTGTCCCAGTCTTTGCCTGCTCTTTGGCAGGGAAAGATAACTACCAAAGGCTTGAGGTAAACACCAGTCTTAATTAAACTGAATGGTTTATTCATTTAAGCTTAAAATGACAAAAGGCTGCTTTCCTTCTCTTAGGATCTAATTTCTAAATTATGGCTTTCAAAGAAGTTCCCTGGCAAGAAGGGGAGGGGCTGAACAGTAAATCAGGATGAAGTGCAAGTATGCAGCAAACAGTGACTTGATACCAGCTAGTAGGGGGCTCTTAACTTTGCCACTGGCTTCGTTTTCTCTACATTGTATTTATTTATCAGATCCTTAATTCTCAAAATGTTTGTTTGGGGGCATATCCCATAAGGCCTCTAGTTATATGCTTTGTATAACTGCTTTAGCTTCTCCCTATTTCACAATGTTATAGTGAATTGTTGACAGTTTGTCTAGAACCAACTTGACAAATGCTGTAAAACTCTTTTATATAAATAATCCCCAAGACGCTTTCCTTTGATTACATCATTTGTGACTATCTGATTTTGTCTTGCAACCAAAATGAGAACCCAAAAGATATGTGAGTGTGAATTTTGAAAGTTTGTGTTTATTTTACCGTTGTATACCTCACATCCTCCCCATATTTTCTCCTGCTTGCGTATTCAGTTCTCCAAAATGCCTGTCTCCACTTGCAATCTTCACCCAGCAATTTCCACTTTCAGTGCTTCCTCAGTTCTTGACACATTTGCCCCATTTTTCTCAGCAATAGAAGCCCTCTCATCCTCAGCTCTGATTCATTCTACCAATTCAGTGTCTTTCATTTCTTACGTAGCCAAGCTTTCTAATCTGCTGCCTGTCTGGTGGGAAATCATCAGTTTCTGATCTATGCGGTTCCAGTGTAAGGACATGATGCTTGCCCATTGCGGGGGGGGGGGGGTGAAATCTAACACAGGCTATCAGGATGCACAGGACTAATTTAAATATTTGACTAAACTTTACTTGGCTAAACCATTTAATTTGTCAGTTGGTTTCCTGGCTTGTTCTTCTAAATTTTGTCTTTTAAGCCCTTTCCTTTTGAGCTATACAAAGAATTTCATACCTATTAATTCATTGGCTCTGTATAGATTTTGCCAAATTCAACAGTCATAATGAATTTATAAATTGATGTTGATGGATTTGGCATCATTCAGAAAAAGAGAATTTCAGAGTTAGACAGATGAGTTAATTTTCTTCTTTCCTCCAGGAGAATCCACAATTGGTGTATATGAGTTAATGTTTAGGTGCCACTGAATTGCTGCTTAAACCAGTTCTGCAGATGTAGTCCTTTATGAAGAATCCTTCACATGTTTCAAGCATGAATCCACCCACCATACCCTGCCTGATTCCAGGCTGAGGTAGTAGTTTGTACAGTTTGAGGGTCTATGATACCACCCGGTACAGGAGATAACTGTACAGGCCACTGCCTTGCCTGGGGCAGAGCATAATCAGCTAGAAGAAGATGCTTCCTACCTTCCTTTTCTACTTAGAGAGACCAGCAATTTGTCTGGAATTGGTGCCTTTCTTCTAGTGGAGTAAGCAAGCTGTTACCAGAACCGGATATAGCACAATCACTGTATAATAATTTGTCTTGTGGATGTTTTCCTGCAGATACAATCAGATACCTCTCTCTTCATGACAATAAATACATCAGATACTTTCCAGGACACAGCAAGAGGTAAGAAGAGAAGTGCATTAATCGCGATCTTTGTGTCATAGGAAAAGAGAGCACAAAACAAAGCAATGGTTAACAAAGCTAAGCCACAGAAAATTAATCTTTACCTCTCTATTTCTTTGTTTCAGAGTTGTTGCTCTTTCTATGTCACCAGTGGATGATACCTTTATTTCTGGGTCACTTGATAAGACTATCAGACTTTGGGATCTTAGATCTCCAAATTGTCAGGTAAAATATCAGGTCATCCATGTGACTGTTTCAGATGTGTAATAAATTAAAAGTAGTCCTTGACTCCACTAAAATACATTAATAAACGTGCACAACATCCGTATATGCATCTCATGCTTAAGTAAGAATGTTAAATTATGGAAGTTCCTTCATGTAATAAAAGTAGTACTTTGTTTTCTGAAAACAAACTTGTAGAATCATTCTTTTCGGGCTCTTTCCAAATTCTAGGGTTTGATGCATCCTCAAGGAAAGCCTGTGTGCTCATTTGATCCAGAAGGCTTGATTTTTGCAGCTGGGGTCAATTCTGAAATGGTGAAACTTTATGATCTCCGCTCTTTTGATAAGGTATGTAATGTTTAGATTGATCAAAAGAGAATTCTACACATGAAAACTGTATCAGGAATAGATTATAAATTTAAATTTATAAAGCAAAGAAGTTGCACTCAGGGTCTCCTACAGGCCATGTGAATTTGATTTATGGTTTTCTACATAATTTGCATGTGTGCCTTACCCCTAGATAGAAGAATTTCATTAAAATATTCCCATATTGGTTCTCTTTTATGACCTGCTGCCGTTATAGGTTTTCTTCTCCAGGGATAGAATAATATGATGAACTCCAGGCTATACACAGAGAGATCCAAGGACTTGGGGAGTATGCTGCACAAGAGTGTCACTTTCATTTTTTCTGCTTGCCCCCCTCCCCCCCACACACACACTTAGCTTCTTATACAGATCTACTGTATTCCACTCCCAACCATCTTGTATTCATTGAATTTTTTGAAACTGAGCACTGAAGAGATAAGGGTTTGCTCCTGTGTACACAGTGAGATTGAGGTGTTTTTCTCAATTCTGTACATTTATTTTATAACAGTTTTGCTGTGAAGAAGAGGCATGTGATCTCTGCAGACACAAAATCACAGTTTTGAGAACTGTAAAACGAAGCATCTGTGAGAATATCTTCTAGAAAGGAAAAACTACCCAATAATCTTACAGAAACCTCTGGAAGAGCATAACTTTGTGAATGGATTAATGGAATTCATTTACCAAAAAATTTAAACATTGCATGAATATACAGCCTCATGCTACATAGTGAAAAACTGATCCTCAAAAAGCATTTTATTTTTTAAAAATCCAATTTGAATTCAAAAATCCTATCTTTTATTTTTAAAAAATCATTGATTTTTATCCACCCTGCCTACCAGTTAAAGTATGATTAATCTTAATTAAGTGTTCCTGAGCATGCAATTTTACTTAAACTGAAAAGTATTGTGTTAATGCAAATGAGGTCCAACCAGGCCAGTATTTTTTGCAAGCTCACTCCTGGCTTAGGCAATCTAAATTCTTTTTGGAGAAACATAGTTAATTCGGAACATTTTGTGCAAGTTCATGCTAGCTTCCATAGACAAAATGACTGGAATAGTTCAGCTGCATGCACTCATTTGGCTTCCTTTCTTTAAGGGTCCATTTGCTACTTTTAAGATGCAGTATGACCGAACCTGTGAGTGGACTGGTTTAAAGTTCAGCAATGATGGTAAACTTGTTCTAATCTCAACCAATGGAGGATTCATCCGACTCATTGATGCTTTTAAAGGGGCTGTTCTTCATACATTTACAGTAAGAGCTCTTTTCTTACTTTCCTTGGAGCTTTTTGTGTTGAGCTTTCCTTAGGCTGAGATGTGTGACCGAGATCAGCTAGTTCTGTTTTGGAGCAAACTTTCTTTGCTGGTCATTTAGGCTCTCCATTATGCTATGAAAACATTGAGATGTGCATTGAGCTGACCAGATGGTCATTCTGCTTAATCTCTTAATGCAAGATGAAGATTAAGGTTCAAAATTACATCCCAATGGGTAAGGCTGTAACAGTAAGAGGGGCAACCAAATCAGTATTGTAGCTCAAATGAATTAAGTTTATTGCAGCACAATGCACAATGAAATGACATTAGGTCAAAATAAAAAAGCAACCAAGCATGGATACAGCCCTGCTTCACATTCTTTTCTATGACCACTCTCTGGGCATTTATTTTAAGTCTCACAGGAATTTATAGTTATCCATATCCACCAAATACAAATTAGTCTGTTGGTTAGTCAAGATGGAGTCTGAGAAAGTGATCCCCCCTCCCTTTCCAGCAGGAGCAAGGTGCTGTCCTCCAGATATTTTGGACTACAGTTCCAAGGAATCCTTGACCGTTGCCCATGCTGACTGCAGCTGATGGTAGTCCAAAGTATCTGCAGGGCAACAGATAGTCTACACATGGGGATCCATGCTTCTTTAGCTTGCACCATGGTTTGATTTCTCTGTCCTTACTTCATTACAGCCACCAGTCTTGTTCTTTTCTTTTTCAGGGATATAACAACAGTAAAGCTGTCACACTTGAGGCTTCATTCACACCAGATTCCCAGTTTATAATGATCGGTAAGAAAGCCAGTTTTCCTCTCTGTATAACCGTTGCACACCAGTTTTGGAAACGTCAAGGTGACTTCTACAAAACATCTGGCCCTGAGAAATGCTTGCCCTCCTCAACTGCACTTGGTTGATCTTGTGTGCTGATCTGTTTGTGTGTCCTTGTGTAGGTTGCTTGATGAACAGATCCTCTGATGTTACTTGATATTCATATGGCATAATCCAATTTGCAGGATCTGAGGATGGGAAGATCCATGTCTGGAATGGAGAGACTGGAATGAAGGTAGCAGTGCTTGATGGGAAACACACAGGCCCCATTACCTGCTTGCAGTTCAACCCCAAGTTCATGACCTTTGCCAGTGCTTGCTCTAACATGGTAAGAGACCAGTGCTTTAGCATTGAAGGCAAATTAGGCCCTTCATTCCTCTACTATCCTTTTGCTGAAAAGTTTCAAAACATTAGCTTCTCTTTTGAATAACAATCATGATTCTCAGGCAGGAACAATTATCAATTCTTTTTAACTCTCTAGAGTTAACCTTTCCATTAATTTCCAAATTGCCAGAGAGCAAAGTAGCTGTATATCTCACTGCCTACAGGCATAAAAGGACATGGAAGGAGCCCTGGATGGCTGCGTTGTGTGTTCTATTTTCTGTTAAGTGAGCTTTTTCTTAAATTAAGTTTTTAAACTTTTACTTTAAATATATTTAAAAGTATAGTACACGTCAAAAACTGGTGTAAACTAACCTCTGCCATTTTTACAGTTAGAAAATAGGCTAATAAATTATTTTAAACCATATGAAATCCTATACAGTTTCTTATGACTACATTTATGACTCAATGCACTGTGCCAAGGGTTATTTTCTTTTTAAAAAGTAATGGAAAAACACCTACCTTTTGAGTTCAGACAACTTGGTGGCGGGAGTTATGGAACGCTGCCCTAAAGGCCTTGAGAAACACATACTGCACTTCTGCACTCTTAATTTAGGGCTTTAAAGGCCAGCACCTAGTGCCCTTAGATTGAAACTGACAGGCAGCCACTTTAAGTGATACAGAATAGGCATATGATCGGAACATCAAACTTCCACAAGTATTCTAGCTGCTGTTTTCTGTGCCAGTAGTGATTTCTGAATTATCTACAAGGGCAATCCAACATAAGACGCATTGCAGTAATCTAACTGCTGCTTCTTGCTGTATTTTTTAGGCTGTGCAGCCCAGAAGTTTAAACCAAATACTCTCATGATCCCTGACTATTGGCCATACTGGTTGGTGCTAAAAGGAATTTAACTGCTTTTTTAACTTGGAGGCTTGCATTGAGCAAAGAGTTGGGCCTAATGGTCTCGTTGCTTCTTCCAGCTCTGTTATATGATGTATCCCAAAACTTCTGGCATGCCAGGGTGCTTACCCCTAGCTTAACCAGACCCCAAACTGCTGATGTATAGGACTCTGTGAACAGTGCTGGGAAAGGATTTAATGTCTTACTCCTGCTCTGTGGCACAGTTGAGTTGGCAGTGTAGCATGAGGGGGACATTTGAATCACGGTTTCCCTTTTTTATGTAATTGGGAATGGAAACCAATACCTCTTTTCTCCTATTGACACCTTTCTCGGGGAGAGGAAAAGCTGAGTTCCGATAGGTCCCACCTTCACTGCATTTCAGAAACACAGTCAGTAGATGGGTGACAGTGGATGAAAACAGTAATGTAAGGAAACGTAGCTACTCTTGCCAAAAGAGGTGAGGTTGGATGGGCCAAGGAAGGTGCTAAAGCTGCCCTCTCTTTCTTTTTCTTGGTCGAAGTAGAAAGATAGCAACAAAGACAGGAATACAACTGGACAGCTAGTAAAGATCGTTGCTTTGTGGAGTGTGCTGTGTCTCCGAAAGTATTGAGATGAGCACCCTGTGCATAAGATTTCTCAAGTACTGTGACTCAAGGCTAATTGTGGTTGCAAATTGGCCGTTGGTACACACTAAGCATCCTTCTTCCTTTCTTTTTTTCAGGCCTTTTGGTTGCCAACTATAGATGACTAGGTCAGGATTCATCGTTTCCAAGGGACAGTTTTTACACTGGCTTGCCAGCAACATTATTTGAGAAGACCATAATAAAAGTATTGGGATTGCATCACTCAGACTGAATGTTTCCATCCAGCACATCCTATGAATGTTTGGCTGCAGACTCTGCTGCATTTCCTCTAAAGGATTTCTTCATTTGACTGTGCAGTTGCTGGTCTGGAAACGAGCAGGAGATCTGCCAGTATCACAACTGTCTCGGAACTGTTCCAGCTGAGCTGAAGTTAAGAGGTTGCTCTGGAGTATAATCTGGCTCGATTTTGCTACACTGATACTTCCTGATACTTCAGAACTTTTTGCTTGTAACTGAGGGTTATCACTTGTTGAACACCTGGAATGCTGGGCTTGCTTAAAAGTGAACTTTCCAACACGTTCTCTCCAGTCAGAAATACTGAAGGTATCTATGCTGTGCATTCCTAGGCAAAAGCGTCTTTGTGCTATAGAAAACGTGCCATATATGCAGGTAGCCACCCAGCTGCTGAGGGAATTTCTAAAGCTGCTCAGCCTTCTACCTATGCAAAGTGCTGATGCTGCTATGAGTACTGAGCTTTCCAGAGAGCATATAAAACCTCTTTGCCTTTGGCAGCATCTACAATAGGCAGGCACTTGGAGTGTTCTGTGAGAAAATCTTAAGCAATACAGGAATATTTCTGTTGAAACATGCTATCAAATGGACTGGATAGAAATGCACTCCCTGTATTCTTACCTTCAGTGTAATCCTAGCTGATCGTGTAAATATCTGGGGGTGGAAAGGGCATAATATTTTTTTTACTATTAAATATTAAAGAGTAGCACAAGGACCAACACAGTATTGTGGAATGAGTCTTGATCATATACTTGCATTTCAAACATTTCAAATTTCCATTGCAATTTTCTAAGGTATTACATACAGGGTGTACATTCCCCCCCCGCCCCCACTTCATTATATATTGTGTTCTTCTGGTAAATACAAATTTAATTAGCTTGACTTTTTTCATTAGGCTAATTTGATGGACCTGTAGAATTTCCAGTTGATGCGCTTTCTTTCTTCGCTTGATAGTCCTCTTGCAGAAGAATAACGGGCTAAACATGTCCTCTAGGTTCCTTTCCAGAGCAACTCAAACTTAGCTCAGTTGTTCTCTGACTGCATCTGATAGCCTTAGGGATGTATATTTCTACTAGATTTAAGGCATTGTGTGAACTTCTTAGAGCTCCTGCTTTATAATCTTGACTACCCAGCCCTTACTACTTGACTGTCTTTATATTTCCAGAATTACATTTCAAGCAAGCACAAAGTTAGTATTTTAGTTTTCGTTCCTGTTTAAGCCCCATTACTTGTCTTTTCAAGACACCAAACCATTTTGATAAGGTGCCCAACCTTATCCTGAGTTTGCTTAGCATTAAGCCAGTGCTATGGAGATATTTTCTCTACATTATTAGTACATGTTGTACTACAATGAAAGTACATGTTTTCCCTGCACCTCCAAAGAGCTACTGTGCATGAGCCAGCTTGAGGAATGTAGTATTTAAGCTTGGCTTGGTTGGAAAAGTGTATGTATTGTGGAGCAGGGATTATGGGGAACTTCAAGCTGCCTCTGTGCTAACTGTATTGTCTTCATCTTTAAAATGGTTATTGTGTTGTCCTTGTGTCCAGAAATTTCTCACATCAATAATTTCTCAGGTCTGTAAAAATTCAGCGATGCAAGCAGCTCCAGTTCAGGGATGCAGGTCAACTGCATCAGCATCCCACTTTCTGACTTCTGCTTTACTAATTCTCAGCACAACAGCAGGGTTAGAGTAGTTGGGTACAGCATTGAGATACTGGGCAGGAGCTCATGTGTTTCATCACTTTGCTATGTTTTGGCTTTTTCTGAACTCAATTAAAGGGTTGTTGTTCTTTTTTACCTTGAGTAGATTGCCATTCAACTGGAGCTGGTTCTCAGTAAGAAGAATAAATCTATGCTTTCCATTTACCATTTTGCTGGGAGCTGCTTTTAATCAAGCTATTTCTTTAAAAAACACATTATGCATTCTGAGTCCTATTTTGTAAATATTATTTGCAACTTGGGCATTACCTTGCAAAATCTTTTGGCCAAGAATTACAGTATTAAACAGAAGGCAGCACTGCTGTCTTGGACAAAATTTGTCATGTATTGTCCTCACATATTGGATTTTCTACTGTAATTGTATTTCTTCAGTCATGGGTACCTTCTTACCTCAGTGTGGAGTACTTCTCTATTTTTCCACTGGGAAGCAAAATAAACACACAGTGTCATCTTTGGGCTAGCATGTGTTTTTTCATGTCCCTAACATTTTTGGACACAAAGACCCTGTTCTTACAGTCATCAGAGAAAGTGAGGCAGTGTTCGGTCACACAATATTGAACAAAAATGAACCTCTTTTTAAATATATAAAAAATATTAACCTGATTTTTACATATGGGTTTTTGTATCCTATAAAAGCTTGTGTTTGCTTAATGGCATATAGTTGTCAGCCTCCACTCAGCAATGGCCTGGTCAATTATTTTCAGGTATTCTAGAGCTTTCTCATAAAATCTAAAGCAGGAACAGCTTCATACAGGAAAAAAAGCCTGTATTGTTACTTACAAATTGCACTTTAATTAATCCCAGATCCATGACTGTATAAGGTGCTTAAGTTTATTTTTGCCCTTTGGAAAAAAGATTGCCCTTGAAACTGTAATTGTCAATACATCCTTGGAAGCAGAACTATGCTGGGTGCAGTTTAGGGCAGTAGCCTCTTATATGGATGTGGGAGCACATTCCATTAAATACATACATGATAGGGTTAAAAGCTTGTCCCTCCCCTTGCTTGAAAATGAATGTGTCAAGTTGTCATGACATATGGAAAGTAAAGTAACAGAGCTGTACATGTAAATAAAATTTGGTAAACTGTCTTGATAATGTTAAGCTATGTATGCTGTTTGCATAGAGTGATGTCATAGTACACTATTTACACCTGTGTTGGGGTGGGAGATAACTTTTTTTCTGGTGAGCATTCATATCTGAGAACCAGCTTTGCAAAAGTGTGTCTTTCAGTTTTTAATGAGGTAGTTAAGTAACAACAGTACTGGAAACAAAATGTTGAAGTGAATCCATATCCCCTAACACAGAGGCTGTTTCTTTTCTGCCTCCCTGCCATACCTTCTGTCCAGGTATTTTAAGGGAATCAAGCTGGCTTTTTGTCCCCTTAACTGCCACTCAGCAGTCTTAGATCTCCAAAGCTACTAAACATAGTCAGTGCACATTGGATTGTGCTGGGCTTTCTTAAATAATTGGTGCACTGTGAGGGACATCTAGCCATGCTGAAATGCCTCAGTGGCACCATTTTAATTCCAGTTCCAGCACCACTTGGCCACGAGTTTTTGATTTGTGCACTGAGTTGTACTGGGTCTCCAGTGTGGCTAAAAACAGGTTCCCATTGAACTGTGGGCCATTTCTAATAATGGGGAAGAAACCACAGTACAATAAACTCTGTGTTGGGCTGCTTTTGATGGAATGCCTGGTGGAATGCTGGTTCTCTGACTTCAGTGTGAAATAGCCATCTTGGTTCAGTTAATGAAAGCAAATTTCAAAAAGACATACTATACGATTAGAATTATTCTTAAGAGCAGTGGGTTCTGTTATTCTAATGGGAACTTTAGTGCACAATACACCTTTCTCTTCAATAAAAATATTTATTTTAAGTCACAGTAGTAATCTTAGTAAACTTGCTGACTTTCTATAGTAAATGTGACCAGACATAAGACACAACTGAATATGCAAACAAATTATACATGTATTACAAAGTACAAAGATAAAATATTTACAAAAGTACAAATATCAATATAAGCATCCTACTACACTTGCTCAACAAGGTCAGCCAAGGTAGTAACATTACAAAATTATATCGGTTTTCATAACTCTACAAGTTTCCTCTAAATTAGAACTGTCCAACTTTAAACAAAATGTCAAAGTGTCTTTGTAAAGGACACTATCTAGAATCTATTGTCATTTTACTTTTAGTTTATTGGCATGCTGTCTGGAATTCAGCTAAGATATAGCACATATTTTATTAACCATGAGTTAATATTAAAATGTTAATCCCAATATTTAGACTAAAATAGATTGTGCCACGTACAATTAAAGGAATGTGTGCCCTTCCATTGATATTAGATACAGCAAAAGCTTGTCCAGAAGAAAGCCTTGTTCCACTTAAATACTGATCTACTGCTTACAAGACATCACCATGCCCTGCCTTTTATGCAATTCATTTAACAGTAGACTACTTGTATCTGTGAGATTATGCCATTTTAGGTCAGTATGTCATTTTAGGTCTGTAGCTGCTCTAAAGTACTGGATACTGCTCTTTTCTGATGTTGCTTTCAGAGGATGAAGAGGTAAAAGTCTTCAGCTGTATGTAAACTTCTGCACATGGTTGCAGTAACAGCAGTAATATCCAGACTGCAGATGTCTCAGCAATAAAAGGATTTTGCTATATTGTACAGTGGAAGTACAAACACAGATATATCATCATAGGAAGCAGGAATGTTATTCTCCATAGTCCAATAATATCCATCTTTCTTCCCTCTTGCTTTCTGCACCAGGCACTTTGCCAGTTCTCCAAACCTACAGAAAGAAAGAATTAATCATCCTACAGAACAATGATTAACAATTATACAGAAAAACTACAGGAGAGACTAGGTTAGGCACAGGGCTAGGTCTCAGTGTTTGGTTTGCTGCGCTGACACCACCTCCTTACATATTCCTAGGAAAGCTATTCTCTTCAGCTTATTTAAGTACACTGAAGACAGCCCAGTGCTCCTTTAGGCTAGTCCCTTTTGTATATTCTCTAAGCATGAAAGGAATGTAAGCATTTGCAATAAATGTTATTTCGAAGGGGGGCATATTTTGATACTGAAAGTACTTGCCCCCAAGAATGTTGACTTTAAGATCCAAAATCCCATTTGGCAATACCTTTATTATGACCACCCAGAATGTCATAAGACTGCAAGCATCTAAGTTTGTACACATGCATGATATTTTGGTTGGTCCTAATAAAAGTACTAATGAAACTTTTTTAACATGTTTGTGAGATGCACGGAAATCTTTTCTAGAAGGAGCTACTGTGTTTGTTAAGTCAACTACATGCTGTCAAGTCAACTCTGATTTATGGCATCCCTATGAATGAAAACCCTCCAGAATGTCCTATCCATGATAGGCAGCCTTATTCAGCTGTTATAAATCCAAGGCTGTGGCTTCATTTATGGAGCCAACGCTTACTACCTTATTTGTAAAGAACATCAAGGCTTGAGGGTATGGAGTAAAATTAAGACACAAAACATGGTGTTGCTGTCCGCCTGCACAGAAGATAGTTCTGTATTGCTTCCAAGAATTAGCACAATATGGGAGAAGCACAGCCTAAATACTGCACAACTGCACTTCAATGCGTTGTAAAATTCTTCTGTACCATTTGACAGCAACTCCCACCACCCCTTACCTCACTATTGACTGTGTTGCCTAAACCTGGTGGGAATCCTCCACCCCTCAACAGATGGTCAAGCTACCCTCCAATGACCAATCTCATCCCTCTTGCATAATCACACATGAGGAAGCAGTTCTGACTCAGCCACATGGAGCCATTAAGGTCCCACTGAAATGCTAAGCCCAGACCAGAAGAACCCTGTGCCTTCCTCCGTGCTGGTTAACTGCTGTTCCTGCCATGTGCTGACTGGTGTTGCAACAGTGCTATGAGAAAGGCTCAACAAGAAGAGGCAATGTGTGTTTTCTCTTGCAAAGGCACATTGCAGGATAGTGCCACTGTTTACAAGGAACAAACTTCACATGCCGGAGCACTTCCTACCCATGAAGTATTAATACAAATAAATCTGTCAAGATTCTTAGGATTCCTACAAAATTGATATTGTGAAATGATAAGAACATGTGATTAGGTAGGAAGACCACAGGCTACCAAAGCATTAGAAATTGGCTGGAACGGCTAATTGTACCTGTTTGGGTCAGTTGCATTGTATTGGAAAAAATTCCTGACAGTCTGGGCCACCTCTTCATTGGACATGACATCCCAAAGGCCATCAGTTGCCATGATAAGTACATCATCTTCATTAATATTTTGTGCGGTTAAGTCCAAGATTTTCACCTGCTCAGAATTAATGAAAAGATGCAAGATTTTTTTAATCACAGTTAAGCATCTAGGTGTTTTCTGAGAGGAGTTCAAATCCTTAGCACAATAAAATGAACCCTACAGCTCACCATTCACTTCTAATCTCATTAGCCTGACACCTCCTTATTCCATTTTTATACAACTGTTGTCTGGTTCACAGTAATTTAAACCACAAAATACAGTATAAACATTTAAATCATAAATCATACCCACCCACTCCAACCCCATAAATAGCCAGAAAGGCTCTCTGGGCAGTTTTTGAGGGCAATAAAAAAGTGAAAAACAGAGTAAAACCTAGCAGCAGTACAAAGATTTAAAATACAGTACAGAATTTAAAACAGACAAATTAAAATTCCTGGGAGAATTTCTGGAAAAATAAGGTCGTCTGGTGGTGCTAGGAGTAACATGTGGGTGAGAGGTGATCCCCTCTGGGGAGGTCATTCCGTAATGAGGGGTCAGCCACCCACCTGACTTCCTTTGGTGGAGGCTCCATTAGGAGGACTGCTAGGGATGCTTTTGGGGGCCAGGCAGGAGTGAAAAACGAGGGTGTGAAGCGGACAACTCTCCCCCACTCTTGACAAAAAACAAAAACTATGGTATTAGCTAAAGACCAGTGCGTAGTACAGCTGCTCAGAAGTCAGTCCACTTGAGATCCTGGAGGCTTCAGGTGCTTCAGGATAAGACTCAAGGAAGACTAGAGTTGGAAGGGGCCTGTAAGGCCATTGAATCTAATTGCCCACTCAGTGCGGGACTCCAGTTAAAGCATTACTGACATGGCTGTCCAATTGCCAGTGCAGGAGAGCCCACGACCTCCCTAGGTCATTGGTTCCACTGCCATACTGCTCTAACCAGAACTTTTTTTCCTGATGTCCAGCCAGAATCTGGCTTCCTGTAACTTAAAACTTTTATTATGCAATCATCCTGCCTCATTCATGGAATTTTACTTGGGGAGGGGATGGAAGGCAGACAGTGTTATTTTTACTTAAAATCTTCCCAACATTTCCAAGTATTTTTTCCATCATTTGCATTAATCTGTTAATAACCACCCAGTATTTTCTGAATGAAAGCCCTGTCTGGAAGCAACCATGTTCTTAATAAACGTGTTTAGGTTGCAGAAGTATACATTTTCAGTTTCTGTACTGGGGCCAATGTGTTCGAGTAAGGACTAGTAACTAGTGAAGGGACCCAGGAAGGGGGAAGAAGCGGAGCTACACTCCACTCAGGGTCGCTCCATCCGCTGCTTTATACAACCGTCTTACCTTTGGAATGCAGGAGAGGAAAGGCTTGACTTCAACATCCGTGTCAATTACTTTCAACTTATGATCCCCAAGGCCTCGAGACACAGCCAGAGTGCCAAGCAAGCGAGCCTGAAAGAAATGAGAAAAGCCTCATACTAAGGATCTTGTAGCAATGTAACATGGTAAAGGGCACTGTGTCACCAACAGCTGTGTCTGGTATTGAAATTATCCCAGCAGCTTATAGTGCATGTTTAAACTCAGCTAACAATACAATCAAACAGATAAAAGAACATTTCTGGAAGTATATGCCTCAAGAGCCAGCTAAAAGCTATTAAACGCTGGGGAATCAAAAACATTTTTATCTGGGTGCTAAAGATCAAATCTGTCACCAGTAAACTGATCAAAGGGGAAGGTTGGTTCCATAAGAGGTGCCACTAACAAGGCAGTCTATTGCAATAGCCAACTATCCCACTTCAGGAAGTGGAGATATGCAGAGTCAGACCTCCAATTATTAGTCGGCACATTCTTAGAGGACTAAGCAGTTCTTCTAATACCCTAGTTCTAACTCATTCATGTTGACTCAGAAATCTGGCCCAATGAATTCAGTGGGGTTTGTTCCCAGGTAAAAGAAGTCAAAACCAGGACTTTGAGTTGTACCCAGAAACAATCATTTTCAAGTGTACCAATCCACAGCCTTCAAAATCAGCCCTGTGTAGAGCACACTGCAGTCATCTAACCTGGTTGTTTTCTGTACAGTACATAACACTGTGCTACTGTTTGTGTTTTGAGGTTATTTTTCCTCTGATAATAATGAAATTCACCAGAGCAGAGCTCTTTTAAAAAGTACATGGCCTACTGACTCAGTTAGAAACTGGGAACTTTTCTACACACAGCTGTTAATATGCTGAATCTTTCATTTTCTTCAGAGAATGAGCTCTTCCTTTTCTGCTATTCCACCAGGAGACACTGTGGTATAATGCAATTACACAAGTGGGGAAGTGTGTTTTGTTTTTATAATGAATACTGTATTTTCCCCACCCTACCGAAAAGGCACTGTTATAAAACAGAAGTACAACTGAAGGTAACAGTATTGTCCAAACCACCATCATGAACAGAAAGCACACAATATACAACTTGGTACAGAAAGGCTCTAAGAATATAAGATATATTCACTTGGTTATGCAGGATGATTAGATGATGAACCAGTCTGTTTGCAATGCCATGATCATGACAAACATAAAGGAAGAGACTTGACCAAGGGCATAAATACGTGAGTCATCTTTAAACACAAATGTTCCTATTACCAGGTTGATTGCCCTGACTAGTCAATATAGGGGAAGGTATTTTTGTCTAACTCCAGCTAGGAAATTGTTTTGGAAGCCTGACAAGAAAACAGATTCTACCACTACACAAACCATTGTAAATGATGTTGGGCATGCTCTTAAATGCTTGCAAGGAAACATCAAACATACCTGTTTGCCATGTCCATGGATGAGGGGGTACTTGAGGTCATCTTTCACTACTGTCTTGTATCCCCTGAAATGAACAAGACATGCAAGTCTTCATTTGGGTGGTCTTTTTACTAAACTGTGGCCGCAAGTCAACACAGAGATAAGAAGCATGCTGAAACCAACTGATTCCAATGCACTCACAAAACTCACCTAACACTGTGCTGGACTATGGTTATTGTCCCACTGAGAAATATAATGTCATTTTAAAAGCAGAGTTGTATTCATTTCTCTGTGGAACAGAGAACTTCCATTTAAAAAGAGGATATTACTTATGAAAGGTCATATATACTGTACATTAAGGCTGTAGCACACCTGAAATGTATTCAGGGTGGAAATTCCCAAGTAATTTCAATCAATAGGTGTCCTGAATAGGTAAATTCAGAACTAGACCTAAGATCACCAGTCTTTTATTATGACCTTCTCTCATTGTCCTCCATCATTATCAACATCAGAATTGGGTGGCTAGGCACAATATATATCAAAAGATGGCAAAAGATAGTCTTGCATTTCCTTTTTGCAGAAGCAGTTCAAACACAGAACCGCATTACTTGTGGGTCCTTCAGAGCAGAATTTTACTGACATTTGGACTTTTGCTTTACATGTCATACACCTCCCACAGAATGGACCAATTGGACAAACAAGCTAACAAGCCACTCCCTGAGCACCTTGACCTTTGCTGTTACGTTTCCCTGAAGCCCAGATGCCTTCTTCATGTCAGTGTCAGCCTGCCATGCCGGAAAAGTAACATGGCTGCCATTGACAACTGCCATCCTGCTACTTTGATTTCTCCCAGCCCCCCAAAATGGTAAAAATGGGTAAAGTGTCTAAAGGAAAGGTAAGAACAAAAAACCAGCATGCAGAACAAAGAGGATCTAACCATAATCTTGAGGGGTCTGCTGAGAAGAAGGAAACTAGAAAGGCAAGGAGAAAACTACCACAGGACCCCCATATCTGTGGGGATAGGTTCCAAGTCGCCCAGCAGAAGCCTGAAACTACAGATAGTAGCAAATACTATCTGCTGTACATAAACATTTCCCCACAGTTTCACAGACAGAAGATTCATTCTCGTACATCTTAGCAACCTCAGCATATTATTTGCTTCTTTCCCTATTAAATTGTGAATTTTCACTTAAAGGAAACACTAGTGACTTCTCTTTGGCACTTCATGAGTTCTCTTTTGGATCAAGGTCAACCATAGTTAAGTGAAAATGCAGTAACCGAACCAGTGGATATGGGGGTCCTGCCGTGTTTGCTAAATGTGGGGGAGTGCCAAGAGGTCCAGGGCATCCTCATACAATAGGCTTCAGTGACTCACCAGCCTTCCATGGAGTAATCCCTGTACAAGACCTTCTGGCCCACATCATCTCCTTTCAATCTCCTTGGAAACTCTAGCCGTGTGAATTCATCTGCTAGCAGCTTTGGGTAAATGAAAGCCTAAGAAAGAAAATGAACATTCAGTAAGATTTAAAAGGGAAGCATAATTTTCAGAGCAATGACAGTGGCCCTTCAGTGGGATGAGCTGGGAACAGAGTTGTGTGGAGAATGAAAAGGAAACCCACAAGATCTCCATCATACAGCAGAACTCTAATTTAAAAAATTAAGCAAGGATTTCAATCCATAGATTATCAAGCTCTGCTCCAAATATGCAATGAAGATAATGTCCGTGTGATTTTAAATCTTAATGTAGATATCATGATATCAAGCCATAAGGAAGTGGCTTAAATAAATAAAATGCCATGTCTTTATTCAGTCATGACCATCTCGGCAACACAAAACAGACTGGCAAAATAGTCTGAGCGGCAGAATGTATACATATGAGTTAGTATTTCAGAAAAACTTGGCACTCTTTTAGGAAACTAGTACTGAAGTATGGTACAATGCAAGAGAAGTAGTAATTTTGCAGATCTGCTCAAATTCACATCGAGAATGGACAGTGCAAAAGGCAAACATGTTGCCATTACAAAATATGCAGAAAATGATTTAGGTATTTTTCAAAAAGGCTTTCCTTACCAGATGCTGAATTCTCTGCCTCTCTGACTCAGGGGTGAACTCTGTACTCATAGGAGCAATGCTTTGTCTTTGAACAAGGAGTGCTCTGAATGAAAAAAGGGAAAAAAAGGGTTTTATCACTTTCAAGATGATTTTTTCATTACATTTTCAGACATGGGAATAAGTGCTCTAAGTGTTATATGTTCATGATGACCCAGTACTAACTCTGTCTTCTCAATAGAAAAGAGCCTGTTTCAACCAGTTGGCTCAAAATACAAGTTAGCTTAAAATGTGTGCGTTGCTATGCTAGTCTGTCGTCTGCATGAGACTTCCCACCTTAGCACAAGGGCACTTCTGATGCACCTATTCCCGTATTTGAGGAAAGACGGTATCAAAGACGGGCGGGCAACTCGGGCCCCCTTGTGCTACAATCAGCAGTTAGGGAGCAGCGGGGCGGAGAGAGATTTTCAGCGGGAAACCAAGACAGGAGCAAGCGCCTTCCCCTTTCATGCCACAATTCTCATCCAGATCGGAGCCCCACAAGCTGCCTTTTCTTGGCATGTGCTTAACCTGAAGTACTGCTGGACTCAAATTCCATCGAAAGGACAACGCTCTGACATTAACTAAGCACCTTCCTAGTGGGTTAAGCCAAGAGACACCAGAACTCTGCTATGCCCATCTCAAGAGGGCAATGCCAAATCCCATCCTCAGCTGCACTGAGAGCTGAACTCACCTGCTGTCGCCTGCATTTGCCACGTAGAGCTTTCCCTGCAGATAAAGTGCAACTAGTGCAGTGCAGCCTCCTGATTGGTTGGCTCTTTCCATTTCCAGTCCAATCACCTCATCCTGTTGGAAAAACATTAGTTTGTGACAGAAGCTTCCAGATTTCCAAGCCAAGCCAGATTTCCATGATTTAAGGTCATGCCTTAACTTGGCACCACTTCAATAATCACCTGTCCACCCACCCACCCACCAATGGTCAGTTCTAAGAAAGAAGTGCCACTTTTTAATGTAATTATTTTCATGCTCTTGGTAATAATGAAAAATGCTTACACATGGAAAGAAGCATCACACTAAATTTAGTATCAGTATAAAAGCTCATATATTAAATTTACACCTGACATCAAAGTCTGCACTGGCACAGTAACTGGCACTGAATCATGGAATAAACAGTCCCAGGAGAGAACTGCACAAACACAGAAAGGGCCACCAAAGCTGTCTTGCCAGGCTGAAAAATCTAAGATGTACCACAATTCTTTGGAGAACACTGAAGGGGAAGCAAGGGGACTCACACATTCCAAGAAGGCATTCTCCAATGCTCCAGTCACCAGATCTTCCTGCCGGATTTGCTTTTCTTCTACAAACTGTGGATCACTTTGGCATATACTCTGTCCACTGAGATGCATTGGGGGACGGTTTTCAGTTATGCCTTCTATCACATCCTCTAATTTCTGCTTGATGCAATAGTGCAGGTAGTTGGAGGCCATAATTGCTGCTTCTGGGCCACCATGACCGTCAAACAATGCCCAGTAGTAGCCAGTCAGATACTGAAAGTCAAAGCATTGTGAGAGTTACCACCACGGGGAAGCTTCTTTCATGTAACCAAAAGAACCTTTTTGAATGAGCGAACTTATTTGTATGTGGGAGCCCCAGACTCAAATTTCTATTGGCATTACGCTCAGGGGGTGGTCTCGGGCCAGGTCACTGCTCCCTCAGCCTCCTCTCACTTCACTGCATTGCTGTGAGGATTAGAACTGTACAGTGCTTTCTTCTTGAACGCTGAGCAGGGAGTCCTACAGCTTGGGAGCGGTCCTCACACATGCTTGTTAGGCTCTTTGGACATCCATTTATTCACACAAGGAGAAGCATTCTCTCCTTCCGCGTAAGCAGCCGCAGAATCCAGAACTAGAGGCTCAATTGGCTTCATAAAGGCATCAGCTGCCACCCAAACAAAACCCCACACATGCTTCAAGTTTTATTCTGAGCCTTGTTGCTTTATTTTCCTCTAGAGAGAAGAGATCCATCAAGCAGATATAAATGTGCAACCCATGCCTTTCACAAGACATGCACTATGTCCGACTAGCAAGCTCAAACACAATCCCAGTCATTCATAGTGTGATGCATGATGCTAGGAAGTAGAAGCATTAATTGTTTAAGGAGACGTGTGACTAGCCTATACTGCCCAGGAAGGCATCTCACCCTCATGTGATTACAATGCAGAAATACACTGCCCGTTAAAAAGAAGCCTTGCAGTGGTGAAGAGGCATTCAGAGGCTTTCAGGCAAAATACTGAAAGTCACGCAAAGAGAGGTTCTTGCAAGGAGCCAGGTATGCAATGCAACCACTAGTTATGGCTGCTGTGTTTGGCTCCACCTTCTCTTGTCTTTGACAGCAAATAAAACAGCTATTCTGGGGAAGGAGGAAGGGAGAAACCCTAGCCAAGCAACCGACTGCTCCATTGCCAAAGGTGGGCAGGGGAGAGAGAGGTGCAATGAAAAGAACCGTGCTCCACAGGACCTATGATCACCATATCCACCAGTGGAAGAGAGGATGTCCTTCTCAGTGGTGGCACCTGATAATGGAAGATAAGTCTTCAGAGGGAACCTACTTTGAAGTCCTTTCAGCACAACCCAAACACCATTCTATTTTCCCAGGCATTTCAGACATAATTTTCATTCTGTTGATAGTTATTATCGGACCTGTAATTTCTTGTTGCCCTTACCCTCTTTATTTTATTTTCAGTGGATTTGTAATTTAATTAATTTTGTGTTTTCTTCTCACAGAAGCTGCCCTGCAATTTTTAATATATAAAATTATCTATAATAAATTAATGGGAGCACTACAACACCCTGATGAAAACTGGGGATGTTGGAAAGTCATGGCAGCAATTAATTCTCACTTATTGATGGACCAAAGTATCCTATTTGACCTTACCTCAGCAGAGCATAAAATCAGCCATTCCTGATCCTCCTCTTTCCCATCTTCCCTCTTCCTGATGGAGATATGACAGCATGTTGCTTGGTCTTCATTGAATTCTGATTTTTCTGCATTGATGGTTCTGACAACAAAAATAAGTCAAGTTTTTTAAAATTACAAAGGTAACTCAAGCACTTCCCATTTTACCAGTTCTAATGAATTACTGTAAAGGGAAATGAGTGAATGCACTGACTCACTGCTACGTGTTATTAGCCAATATAGAACACTACAGCTTATGTCATTCTCTTGTGCCTTACACATATTAGCCTCCTTTTAAGTTTAAGTCTGTATACCCTTATTTGGATGTAAGTCCCAGTGAATTCAACAACACTGACTTAAGAACACACATGCATAGGACTGTGGGGGAAAAAGGGAAAATATCATAGAAACAGAGCGAGTGAGAAGGGGCCTCCCGGGCCATCTAGTCTGACCCCCAGCTCCAGCCAGCTCCGCTCACAACATGCCCACCATGTGCATGTCCAACAAAGGCAACTAGGAGTGACATTCCAAGTGAAAGCACCAAACACACCAGATTCAAAAAATTATATCAGTGTTCCTTTAGTAGTATCAAGTTTGATGCCAAGTTCCTGGAAGGCAGGGAACTCTAGCTGTTTAGGTTTACGACTCCCATCAGTCCCAGCCAGCATAGCTAATGTTGGGGAAACATAGACTTATTGGCCAAAGCATGTGGATTGTCAAAGTTGCCCACCCCTGCAGAGGGACCACAAAGTAATACACAGTAACGTTGAAGACTTGGACCGAGGTGATCTCTGGTTGGAGCAGGAAATAGATTCTAGAACTCACAATTCTGCATCCTGATTGCTGATTATTGTGCTCCCATTGTCCACATTTCAGATTAAATGCCTCCTGCATGAGCAGCTGTGCAGCAGTTCAAGACCCTGAGCCCTTCCAGTCAGCATCCATCCTCCCCAAGAAACACAAAAAGAGAACAGATCTCCCTCCTCTCCTGCAGTCATCCTCAATCTCCCTGTGCACTGGGAGAGTAGCCAGGCATCCTCCTCAACCTGTCACTCACCACCTGCCCCAGAGTTGAAATGCCTCCTCACAACTCTGGCAAGAAACTAGCCCGTCTCCCAAGCTGAGCAAGGCACCCAGCACCTGGTCAATGGGAGGCAGCAATAGCCTTTCCCTCCATGCTTTGTCTCTTTCTGCCTTGGCTGTTTCTGGACAAGTGCTACATACTGTTTTTGGTCCACAGCAGCAAAGGGGGCTTGTCTAAAAGTACTTTCAGGCTTTCTCCAACCAGGGTTTCTGTGTCCTGTGGTGGGATGACAACTCTTAAGAAATGGCAAAAGGGGGCTTTATGTTCACTGTGTGAAAAAGCAACAGCAGAAGCAATGGAAGGCTAACAAGGCAGGCAGATCGTGAATGTGGCCAATCTTGCCACCTTTAAAAAGTCTGCTTGTATTCTTTCCTATTCATAGAATTAGCTGACTGAGGCAGCTCTCTGCCCTTAGGCTTTAAAGAGTCTGAAGCAAACCTCTGGTCTGGCTGCCACTGGTTTTACTATTCTGCTATCAGAGGGCCTGGCAAGGCTTTTAAGCATGACAGCTGATCCTTTGATCCAATGAAAAAACTTTTACATTTGAATTCAAGGTCCATGAGCCACTGTGGGTTAAGCTAAACAATGCTAGGGAGCACTTACACCATGGAATTTCAATTGATATTTTGCAGGTGCCAGTAGATCACACAGTCATAACTAAAGGATATGCCTACAGTACATCTGGACTTTATGACAAACAGTACACCTGAGTCTCCAAGACCAAACACCTACAGAAGTCTAACCAGCACACTCTCAGCTTTTATATCACAATCATAATCTATGGCATTGGATTCCCTGTCATATACTCTCAAATAAGTTTTATTGATATTTGCTACTAACTAACAAAACTAACAAAAAAACACTAACAAATCATCAATCATCAGAAACATCAGACCTGCTGGGTCAGCCCCCCAAACTTTTTCTTTTTATGATAATCCATAAACATATTAAATCTATGCATAGTCCCATTTCTCTAGCCGATAATAAAAGGAATTCCAAATTTGACAGAAGTCTGTATCTTCTTTCTCCTTCAGAGACAAAGTCAATCTGTCCATTTCAGCACAGTCCAAGATCTTTTTTAAAATCAGTTCGTCGGCAGGATTCTGTCATGTACAAGGTACTGTGAAGTCACTGAGAAAGTGGCCCAGCGGGAAACATTTGCATATCACAAGTGGTGGAAGAAGCAGTGGCCCAGGGGCACAGCAAAACACACTTTCCATAGAAACTCCACATTTCCTCTGCTTTTTCTTAGGTTCTCCACACGTCCCTGCATGTGCTTTTTGGGAAAATGGCTTTCAAGAACAGGCTGTTTCACTAGGCCAGCACAAGAATCTGCGTAGTTTAGCCAGAGCTGTTATGAATCCATTTCACTGTTGAGATAACTTGCCAACACAGGAAGTTGCTGATGTTCTAAATGTTCTTTCCTCTTAAACCGTGCAAACAATACTCTGTGTAAAGAAATGTTGCTCCACTGAATGGCTCAACTCAACCCCAGACTATCTTGTCATGCTCTTGTTACATCACATTTAAGAAATGGTCATCGCACCCAGCAAGATTTCTTAAGCAAAAGAGCGGACATGATGCAGGATTCTCTAACAGAAGTGTCTGAAGAATCATATCCTATAGAAAATGGGAACAGGCAGTCTGAGGATGTGGACAACCTTCTTGAACTATCCATGTGATCAATGCTTGCCCTTCCTTGCTTATATGAGTGCCTCCTTGTTGGATGAAATGTTCCCAGCAACCTTACAAGAGCCTGAACACCAACTCCATCAGTCACAGCCAGCATGGCCAATGGTCAGGAATGATGAGAGCTGGAATCCAACAGCCTCTTGAGGGCCACAGGTTCTCCATCTCTCTATTAGGCCTGGGTGATGGATGAACTCCTCCCTTAGTCAATGTCTGACTGGTTTCAAATACTCCACTTTGGGGGAAAATGTTTCCATGTGTGGTAGCCTTTCAAATACAGGTATTTTTAGAGGATACAGATCATCTAGATGTGTTTTAATCCATCTTTAGACATATGTTTAGAAAATAGCCTTGGCCACCTAGCAAATGACATCTGCTGGGAAATGAACAAGGAGACAGTCTCACAGTTGGTTCTACTGGCTTTCAAACAGCTATGATACTGTTTTGGACCAGCTGGCCAGGCTGGGGTCTGAGGGCACAGTGTTACAGTGGAAGATCAGTTATAGAAGGTGGTGCTGGAGACTCTTGTTTGTTAGCTCAGCCATGGTCCTATGGTGTATTCAATGTTTCATTTTGCCAGATATACTGTTTAATAGCTACATGAACTGATTCCTCCAGGAATCTCAAGGGTGGTGCTGCCAGAATGAGGACAGCAGTCCTCTTTCCCCATCACTTTTCCATATGGCTACTGAGGCTCTGAAGCAGTGTCCTGGGGGAGTAATGTCCTGAGAGGAGAAATGAACAAACAAATTGAAACGTAAATGCTTGATTTTATTCTAATGCTCATTTGGACTCATGTCTCTCCTTTTTGTTAATTATCAATCCAAAGAACTACATTCTTCTGAGAAATGTTAAGTATATTTATGGAGTAGGTGTTAGGTTCTTGAATGAACAGCCAGTTCTTCTGGCTTCAATATCTTTTAGAAGTACCCTGGTTCTGCCCTTCACTAGTGCCATGATATTTTAGTCTATTCCTTGCCCATCATCCACCAGATCCTCTGGTAGGGAGTGGAAACAAGAAAGCATCTGTCCCACCCTAAATCATCAAGATATTCAGTCATCACTTGCAGCTGCAGTTCTCAAAACAAGGAAGTTCCTGTCCATTTCTACTACTTACTAAGCTTCACATTCTCAATTTGCCTTCTTTCTGATGTTGTAATGCATCCTTCTACTGTCACATGTCATGGGTTATTTCATGCAGTTAGAACAGCTCATCACTTTGGTTTGTTTTCAGGATTAATTACCTCACTAAACGTCAATGAAGAGTTCAGCCTGAGGACAAGTTTAAGAGGTGAAAAGGGAAAGAATAGATTTCCTGCAATGCAAAGAAGTCATCAAGACAGGGTAGAGGAAAGTGACACTTGATACAGATTTCTAGCTTCAGCTGGAACTTCAGTGTATGTTTGCACCTGCACAGAATCATGTAAAGGAAAGTACTTAGAAATACCTCACAATGAAGATTTGCTAGAAATGTAAGAGTGATGGTACATCAGATATGCTAATCTGACAGTGTTATGCTTGCATACTTGATCTGATTCCTGAGAAAGCTTCCCCATACAAAAACAGAGCCTGTATTCTTCTAAACAGATAAATCCCGCTAACCATATTTTAAAGTAACAACAAGAGCCAACCTTCAAAACTAAATCCTATCCTAGATCAGATAACAAGTGCCCTGTATTAAAATTTCAATTTCTAGGCAAGTTGCTAGAGCAAATGATGGCCTCACAACTCCAAGTACAGTTGGAAGATCTGTTCCAATCAGGTTTTAGACCTGGTTATGAGATGGACGCATCCTTAATTATCTTGATGATTTATGCTGAGGAACAGATGAGAACAGTGCAAACCATGTCAGTTCTTCCGGACCTCTGAGGTTTTCAGGATCATTGACCAAGATATCCTTTCTGGATAATTTGTATTGGACTTTGGAGGCACAGTTTTAAAGTGGTTTTGTTTCTTGCTGGATAAGTGGTCTCAGAAGATGGTACTGGGGGACTTTTTGGGCAACCCATGGTTATTAGCCTGTGGGGTGCTGCACAATTCCATCCTGTCCTCCATGCTTTTGAACAAGGACATGAAACCATTGGGGTAAGTCATGAGGAGACAGCCTGAAGTGCCACCAGTTTACAGAAGATGTTCAGCAGTACCTCTCATTATCATCTCCTGAACCAGTGTCTAGTGACAGTTTTGAGTTGGGTGAGAGTAACAAGCTGAAATTCAATCCAGACAAGACAAAGGTACTATTGGTTGGGAAGCCAACTGGTCTGGATGCGAATTTACAACTGGTCTTAGATGGGACTATAGTCCCCAATATATAGTCAGGGAATCTTCCT